GTATTTCACTATTGCATAAATGTATGGTAGCTATGCGGGTCGTAGCATATGGGACATTAGCAGATGCACAATATGAATATTTGAGGATGAGTGAAACTGTAACAAAGGATGTTGTAATAAAATTGGTAGAAGGTGTCATTTCATGTTTCGGGTGAAGAGTATCTTAGAAGGCCCAATGAAGCTGATTTGGCAAGACTACTTCGTGTAGGGGATGAACGTGGATTTCTATGTATGATAGAAAGCATTGATTGTATGCACCAGACATGGAAAATTGTCCCACCTCTTGGGTTGGACAATATGTAGGTAGAAGTGGTAAACTAATAATCATTTTGGAAGCCGTTGCATCGTATGACTTATGGATATTGCATGCATTCTTTGGAACACCAGGTAAATGCAATCACATTAACTTCCTCTACCAGTCTTCTATTTTTGATGATGTCTTAGTAAGTCGAGCATCAAATGTGAGTTACGTCGTAAATGCTCGGGAAAATAATATGACATATTATCTCACCGATGGCATATATCCTTCATGGGTTGCTTTGTCAAGTCAATAAATTCCCCCAGCTTCGAAAATACAATTTGTTTGCTAAACATCAAGAAGCCGCTAGGAAAGACGTTGAACAAGCATTTGGATTTCTACAAGCACATGTTGTATTTCTTCGACACCCATGTCTTTTGTGGGACAAGGACATGATGGGGAAAATTATGATTACATGTATTATCATTCATGCTATGAATGTGGAGGATAAACGTTTTACATACATTCACTATTTTGATCCATCCTAATTTCTAAATGGCAGACCTACAAACCGGAAACGAAGAACCTATATTGAAGATGCCAAACAAAATTTAGAATATTCCACTCTATGAATTGCATACATATCTAGTTATATGACCAATAGGGTACAACTTCGCAATAGAAAAGCTCACAACACTCTAATTGAGCATATATGTAAAGAATTTGGCATTAATGGATGATTATGCAGTTTGCATCTTCCGTATCTATAATCTTGTAATTCATGTTTTGATTGTATCTGCTTATCTATTTTATTAAATTTGTTTTCTAAATGTAAAATATTTTTTAGTTTTATATTTAAAATAAATAATTTATTATTCGAACTAAATAAATTATTTTTAAGTTTTATAATAAATATTAGTAGAATAAAAATAATCTTAAAGTTAATTATCTATATAATAAAAAAATGGTTTTAGTTGGTTTGCTAATAGGTGTGAAAAGTTAGGTTTAATTGGGTTGGATAGGTGAGAGAGAGAGAGAGATACTATTTATTTAATAAATAGTTGGGTTGGTTTTGGTTGTGAATGAGAGTAGTCTCATAAAATGTTTGTGCTAGGGTTTAAGCACTTCAACGAACGATTCAAATGATTTCACAATAGACTAACTAAATGCAAAAAAAAAAAAAAGAATATATTATTTAACATGGTTTACACTACAAGATTGATTGGTTATCTCCATGGACGGAGAGAGAGAGAGAGAGAGAGAGAGAGAGAGAGAGAGAGAGAGAGAGAGAGAGAGGGATTTTATAGATTTGTGTTGAATGACTTATAGGGTTAAAATGGTGAATCAGTCTCCACAACTTAACAATTTTCCCTCTCCATAACTTACAAGTTTGATCCTCCTTCTTCCATGGAATTTTTCTTAGGACATTCCTAGCTTTCCCAGTTCATGCTACTATCTACTTTTTATAGATCTGGGTCAAAGGATACCAAATTTAGAGCTCCTTCGATGAGAGGCCAAAAGACTTGAAGAATTTGACCTTTGAGAACCTCAATGAAAAAGCTAAGTGTCGTCTCTTACTTCCATCACGAATGTTAAGGGGTATAGTAAACTTCAATTCAAAACAACCAACTTCAACCAATACAACGCCGAAAGAAAAGGTAACCTTATGGTAATTAACCAAATAAGTTTTCAACACATGAATCCTGAAGACCTTTTGACTATTGGGAGACACTTCTCTCGTAAAATGGATGAACATAGTGATTATCGACTCTCGTTCATTCAATTCGGAAGATTCGTCAACACACTCCTTTATGTTTTTTTTTCTTTTATGACTTTGCAATGGATTTTCACCATCAATTCCAAGCTCCTCTATTAGAAAAAAATTGATATTGAGCTTGATGGAATCACGAAGTTAGGATATGGAGTTGTTGTTACTCTAGAGAGGTGAATGGTCTCCAAAACTAGTAAAGTCGGACTGATGAAATGCTTCTAAATAAGCCAGAAGAACAGATGCACTACTCTATACCTTGAGGGTCCGTTGATTGCACTCGTCAGTTCAGAAATGATTCTAACGAGCTAAAATATTTATATAATTAAAGAAATTGAATGGTTACTTGTGGTGTGTAAGTTTTGGAAGAAAGTATCGTTGTTTGTGGTGTGTAAGTTTGGGAAGAAAATAATTGAGTTCTTGGATTATTCAAGATAAATCATCATTGTAGATGTCATTAAGTCATTTATGGGGAGAGTGTTGATACAAGAGAGTGATCACACGGTTAAAGGAACCTTAAAGCTAATGTGACCCCAAAGCTTGGTGAATCTTGAAGACCAAACTGGTCTACAGTAGCAAAGATGCCAACTTCGGTGTGATCTTCACCTAAGTTTAGTAATAAGTTGACTATATGATTTTTTTTATAAAGGACCATATATGTATATATATTTTGTTGCTATACTATTATGAGAACAATTATAATTCCTAGAATGTACAAGAGATTACTCCAATCTAATCACATATTTGTACATTAAGAATACACATACATCCTACCAAACAAAGGACACATAATGTCACATATAGTATAGTGAGAAAACTCGCATAAAGCTAGCAACCCAAGTCTGACATGCAAGGCTCCTCAAATAAACCAACTAGCATGAACCACCTAAATTCACCATTAGATGCAACTCATCAATCATTATTATATAGAGATCAGACCTCAGTTATTATATAGAGATCAGACCTCAGTCCAAAACTCGATATCCATCAAAGTTTGTGTAACACGTAGTTTTAGGATGTTTCTAATACTGGGGATAGCGGGCTGTAAATGGTTCGAGTAAAGGTCTCAGTCTTTAAAGGGATAGAGTCTAGACCATTTTGGATGTTGATAATGTTGGATTGAGTGATTTAAGCCCTTGATTTGTGCTTTGGAGCAAAAGGGTAAAATGGGAAAAAGTGATATTCAGGTTTCTTGCATGAATTATGGTTTTATCCCGACATGTATTAAGTTAAGAGTAATTACATAGAGTTGTAGGGGATCGTCAATACCTTTTTGTGCATATAAAGATCGTCAAAAACAGAGTTGAAACAAAGAAGTTATGACTGTTTGAAGCTGAAGTGGAATTTGGTGAAAACTCATCGTCACGAGGTGAAAAGTATGTTGTCACGGAATAAGAGCCATCACGAGGTGAGAAACATGTTTTCATGATGTGAGATCAATCACGAGGTGACAAACAGGCTATCACAAGGTGAGTGTTGTGCAACCCACGCCCCAAGCCATTGGATTTTAGGGTTTTCAAGGTATTTAAAGGTAAGGATTGATGTTGTAGGGTATTTTATTAGCCTCCATCACATCTAGTACTCCTTGGGAGCAACCTTAGCATCCTTCTTCAAGATTTGAGTTCATCCTCTCTCCTCTTTTGGATGCTTTTGGTGATATTTTGATAAAGCTTTAAGATCAAGAAGGTTCTTTTGGTTGCAAGGAATGTTCTTTCAAGTTTGAATCCATCAAAGTCACTCCATTTGTAGACTATTTTGAGTATAAGTTCATATCTTGCTCTTTAGTTCTTTAGATCTCTTCATTTGTGGTTTTGGCACTTTTGGTCCATTTTATGGGTGATCATGGAGTCAAGCGAACTCCAACAACTGTTGATTAGTTTAGAATGATTCTTGGACCTCATAGACTAGGAAAGTTATGATCTTTTGCCTTCCATTTTTATCCATGCAAGTTATCTTGGTCCTTTAGGTCATTTTGGTGTATTTAAGTTTAGATCTTGAAAGTTTGAGACATTATTGTGGAGACTGATTCACCATTTTAACCCTTGTTATAGCATGGTTTCGTTGATTCAAAAGAGGTTGGCTACATGTTTTCCATCAAACCCGGATTAGCCAACCATGAAAAAAGAGAGAAGAAAGAATTAGCATTTACTAATTAGTTTTCTACAAAGATCCTACAAGTTTTTAATTTGAGTTTTCTCTCAAATTAAGGTTTATCTTGTTGATGGGCCACCTCAACAAAATTAAAATGGGCTATTTTGCAAGATCTTTAGCCATTCAACCATTTAACGCAATGTGTTGCACGCTTGTTTAGCAAAATCTAATTCTAGAAGATGTGGTCTAGCCTATTTAGCATCTAACAAAAGAGAAGAAAAAAAGGGAGTGTGAGCTGATAATTTTGCAATAAGCTCAAAACTCCCAAGTGGGCCACCATTTTCTCACCTTAGGCTCCCTCTTGGACCTAAATTTGGGAATGGGATCTAACAACTCATTTTGGGCTCCTCCGTGGGCTGACCAATAGTTTTTTGAGCTCAACAGTTTTCGGGCTCTAATAGTTTTTTTTGGAATCCCATTAAATCTAATTTTTAGTGGGCTAGCTCAAAAATATTAAAATGGACCATCTCAATAAATAAAATGGCCATATTACAAGTTAATAGTCAGCCACTCGGCACTCGAATACTGTAAACTTTGCTAGAAAAAACACGTATTTAGAATATACGTTGCAATCCAAATCCCTCTATCTTTTCCAAATGGGGGGGGGGGGAGAAGAGCGGTACACTACTGCTACTACCCACGAAATGCTTCGAAGCGATTGCAATCTTAATCAGTCTATGATTTCACGAAAACATACCAACTATCAAACATGAGTGTGATTCTCGTGACAAATACTTTGTATTATCACTTTGAAGGGTTTTTTTTATCTTAGTTCCAAATTGATTTTAGTATTTCATTACTCCTTGATATAATATCATTTTTTTTTCTTTAATTATGACTTCTATGCATTTTAGAGCTGAAAATATTTCTTTGCATATACAGGCACGCGATCCTTGGTTTTCTCTTGGAAATCAAGGTAAAGAATTTGAAAGAGGGTATACACAACATATCAAAATACCTTCTTCAATGTCTAGTAATCAAGAAACTGCACACAATAAATCTCCTTGTGGTTATAAAAGCATAATGGGAAATCAACAATTTCAATATGGAAGCTCATCATTGATGATGCCTTTGAGTATGATGACACCTCAAGAAAAGATTGAAAAACTAAGGAGGTGTCAACAAATGAGGGCATTTTTTGCTATATGTAAACAACAACAAGAGTTTAGACAAAATTCAAGTTTCACAAGTTGTTCAAATGAAAGCCAAATTGATGAAAGTTTGAACACTCTTATGATGAACACAAGTTCATTGGAAGATGCCATTTCACATCAACTAGAAAATGTTGTTTCAACGGTAAATCATAATATAAGAGAAATTAAATATCATCCTACTTATCTTCTTACCTATGTGAAATGGTGACAAGTGTCATATTTTGATAAAATTAATAATATTTTAAGACACTTGTTATCATTTCACATGGGTAGGAAGAAAAGTAAGAGAATATTTAATTCCTCATATTATAATGGTAGTTTTCGGTATGATGGAATGAGTTATTCAATTGGATGAAAAAAGTTGTTTGTTTTGCATGAAGTATGATGGAATGGAATGGGTTATTCTTAGAGAAATGAGATTCCTTTCATTTTGTTAATTTTTTTTTCCTTTTTTGGGAAAGGCCTTCTGTTAATATTCATTCATTAGCTTGGGGTTATAATTTCTATTTCATTATGGATTGAAATGAAAAATTGCAATATAACCCATTTTTATTGACAAATCCTTTTCTAAAGTTTTCATGATTTTAGTTGAGGTATAATTTTATTTTTAAAGTAGTTATAGAATATATTTTAATATAATCTTATTTGGGTTTTAATGAGTTATTATTATTTTTTCCTTTTCATATACATAAAAGTTCATTATTTTTAATTTAATTACGCATTTTTAATGAAAAGTGTATTTCTAAAGTTTTTATGATGTTAATTGAATTATAATTTTATTTCTTGAAATAACTAATAAATAAATTTTTTTGTACCATATTTTGGTTGTAATGAGCTTTATTATGTTTTCATTTTTCATTTTTGTAATTAAAAGTTGATTATATATAACTAAATTATGTAATTTAAATGACAAGTCTTTTTCTTAAGTTTTCACGACTTTCAATTGAATTATACTTTTATTTTCTAATATAATTTGAAAAATATTCTTTATTATAATCTTATTTGGGCTTTAATGAGCTTTTATTATGCTTTTAATTTTTCATATTTGTATATACATACAAGTTCGTTAATTATAATTACATAATCTATGGAGTAGACTTAAAACTAGACATTCTATTTTACATATAATATAAAAAATTCAAATGAAAACTCATTCCATTCCTACAGACAAACCAAACATGATTATGGAATGTAATGACTCCTTTCATTCCATCAAAACAAAAAGATAGGTGATCTTGTGAGAGACTAATGAAGAGGTATTTTTCTTTCAGTTAGGCATTCAAATAAGGCTTTGTATAAGAGATAGTTTGTTTCGATTGGCTCAAAATGCATTGGAGAGGAAATATGCAATTAGTTCCAATGAACAAGTACCCAATGTTGTCACTCAAGAAAGATTAGGTGAAACAAAGAGGTTAGTTACATAATCATCAATATGTCATTGTCAATTGTTTTATAAGGGTATTCATTAGAGTTTTGTTTTCATGTATAAACTATATAATCCATGTGGAATATTTCAACATATCATGCTTGGGTCATTTCTTTTGCCACAGGAAAATTGAAATTAACTATAAGGAGAAACTAAAGGAATCATGGGAAAGATTTATTTTCTCTAAGTTAGTAATTTATCATTCTTTATTTTTTATGAGTAATGTATCTGCATATTCTTTCAATGACAGCTCAACAAGAAAGCCTAAAGGAGAGACAAAGACAAGTCCAATCGACCGCATTGTGGCTCATTTACTTTTTCATAGGCTACTAAAGTTATCTGGAGAACATCTGCAATCACAAGGGTAATTCCGTCTTTTACACCTCCATTGTTTTAGCATTTAATATCTTTATAGGGTTAAATGCACATCTATGTACGATCGTGTCACCTTTTTCCCAGTTTGTGCATCACATGAGTTTTGTGTTATGAAATATGCAATAATGCTTCATTTTAAAACCAAAAGATGCAACATTTAAGTGAAAATGAAACCACTTTTTTGCATAAATTGAAGGGCTAGATTGCAAGAAATAGCAATTTACTTTTCTTTATTTGTTATTTATAGCATCTTTTTTTTCCAGTTCTTATTACAACACTATACTTTGAGAAATCTAACCAATTGTAGCAGTGTCATACAAATACAAAACAATTTTCAATGCTATAATTGTGGAGATTTTTCAAAGTGAAAGGTTCTACTAAGAAAAATATACTAAAAGTGCAATGCTATAATAGAAAGAAATGAATTAGGATGCTATAATAAACAAATGATTTGAAGTATAAGTGAAAGTGTGAAAGTGAAACTATTTGTGAGATTTGAATGATTATGGACAACATTATGAAAATATTTATGGAAAACAACCATCCAACTATCATTTTTTGTCCAAAAATCACTCGTAACGTGTGTGTGTGTTTTAATTATTGTTGTATGAATTCTTGGTGAACGTTCTCATTTTTCTCTCAGCTGAGTAAAATCCTTTCGGGTATGATTTTCTTGAATAGTGGAAACCTTCAACTCATTTGATTATTTAAGTATTGTAGAATTCGATTTACTTCAAAAAGGTGTATTTGTATTTGTTGTGGAGGGGCGAAGCCACTTTACTTGAACCATGAAGTTGATTTTTGTTACGCACATACCTATTTTACTCGATGTGTATAACATCGAAAATACATAATAGTTTTTGTGAGTATTGCATATTTGTTATGAACATGATTGACTTGATGAAATCTATGTATTTACCTAGATGAAACTTGAAAGATTTATAATTGGTTTTCATTGATGTTACTCAAAAAAAAAAAGGTTGAAAGTTTTTTTAGGTCATCTGGTATACTTATCACTACCACAAATGTGGTGGGGACGTGGGGTGTCATGTAGGCATGTAAAACAGTCTGTTGATCCGAAAAAACTAGAAACTGAATAAATTGTAAACTAAGAACTGAGAACCGGATTGAATACCACCAACTGGTTCTGGTTTGGATTTCGGTTAAAAAGTTCATCCTTGGTGTCATGACACTACTATTTCATCACCACATGAGCTTGGTATATCCATAGTTACACGTCATTCTTTTTCAATCTAAAAAAAATTAAATAATGAAATTGAAAAAACAAATTTAAAATGTGAAGAAATAAAGATTTCAAAAGGAAAAAATTAGGAGATGCTTTTCATTGGGTGTGGTCAGTTGTGATGGCGACAACGATGGACCACACCACAACCACCACAATGCACACGGAATTGTGTGTTAGATAGTGGTAGACTGTCACATAGTGGCAACGAAGTTTTAATGCAATTAACATGATTGTTTTAATGAACAAAAGTGATTTTCAGATGAAATATGCATCATCTGCCTTTTGTTTTACAATCAAAATAAGCAACATTGTATCCGACTTATTTTATTTATTCAAATTTCATGTTGCATTCTTGATCTTTTACAATATCACCACAACCCTTCTTCGTTTTCTTAATGCACTTCCGAACGATCAACTTCTTGTATCTACGTTCTCTACCTTGTTTGTCTTTATGTTATATGATTATATCATACAAACAAAGCATTTAAACTAAGTTCAAGTACAAGATTGACTAAATATGATTAATATATCATATTACCAAAAGTAATATCGTGGTTCAACAAATGAAAATTTGTCTACTAAACAACAATCTCCAAATTATTATAGTATGGTTAGAGTTATTTTAACAATATTGTTACAAATACATAATACTACAATAATGAAAAAATGAACATCTTTTTTCCCATGTCAAACTCTATCCTAAAAAAATTGGCTTCCTTTGATTTCATATTTAACGAGTTTCAAGGTATTTCACTTTTGATTATATCACTTCATCTATGTTCTTCAACACTTTCTTCTGTACAAAATCACTGCATGATCTCTATCAATGTTTCGACAAAACTACATCCCTTTAAATACAAATAGTTTTATTCTTCACACATAAAAATCATTGATTGCTTAGAAAATTCAACTTAACTATAATAATTTAACCTTGTAATTTGGACAGACGTCAAATTGTCTTCATGCGTTTTGATATGTTCACTAAGTTAATTCCCAAACCACACTTTCACCTAACGTGGAGATTGATGTTTGCACGTGATGAGGAGAGAAGATAAGTAAGTCCTCAAAGCTCGAAAAAGATAGAATTAAAGGGTGTTTGGGATTGCTATTTCTTTTTAAACAATGGTATATTATTAAAACAAGTAAGAAGCTTGATAAAAACAAGAAGCTAGATAAAAACAAGGGTTGTTCACCCAACCAACCCCATTCATTTTGCAATTTTATGTCTATTACAAATCCAGAAGAACGAACGAGAAACAATGCCATCGAAAATATCTGCTTTCTTTAGTTTAGCCGGTCCAAAAAGATGCTTGTTATGAAAATTCAGCAGCACCAAAAAAATTAATAATAAATCACTACGTCAAAGAACTTTCTTTGTGTAGCATGGAGATGCACATGATCTGCCCACCGAAGGATATTGCCATATTGGTAGGTGGAACAATCCCCCACCATCTACCAACAAGGGTCCAAACTCGCAAAGTATGAGAATAATCAAAACATGGTGCATCAACTCAATGTCATCGAGACAAATATGACATAAATCAAAGTCCATTTTCCATGATTTCCTCATGAGGGGAAGTAATTTTTAGAGATGGTAGAAAGGGTATCTACAGGAAATAAACTATCTTATTCTTTGATTTCCTCATTTGGTTCAATGAACAATGTGAAAAAGAAGATAAATAACTTTAATGAGAAAACAACAAGGCTCAATCAAGAGAAATATGATGTGGTGTCTGTGTAGTTCCTCCAACAACAAATTGACCTTCGTTACTGCCTTTGGTTACTAAGACTAGACCTGGCAAACGTGTCGTGTCGTGTCGGGTCCGTATCGTGTCAAAACAGTAAACGGGTTGAGAGAGCTTAACCTTAACCCGATCCGTTTAATTAACGTGTCATGTCGTGTCAACTCGTTTATTTTCGTGCCTGGTTTCGAGTTAGGGATATACCCTAAAATGTGTCGTGACATGTGATGTTGAAACATTAAACATGTTTAAAAAAATATGAATTGGGTAGGTAGAAAGGAAATGTAATAGTTGGGAGGCGGAAAGGAAATGTGTTGGATGGAGAATGAGGGATCATGAAGAGGAGAGAATGGTTGAGAGGACTCTGTAACTTGGGCGATAACAAAAAAAATTGAAAATGAAAGTCTTGACTAAGAGTGGTAAGTGTATTCCACATTACGAAACGAGTCAACCAAAAAGTTTTCTTTTACGTATTGTTTTAATTTTTGATATTTCTAGCTTCTTTAAAAGATTCAGAAAACCTACATATAAGCGGGTCATTTTCGAGTCATATTCAGGTTGAAATTCTCAACCTTAACCTTAACTGTTTATTTTTCGTGTCGTGTCATGTCAACCCGTTTAATTAAACAGGTTGAAATATCTTACTCAAACCCGTTTATTTCGTGTCGATTTTGTGTCGGGTTTCGTGTTGTGACAGTTTTTGCCACCTCTATCTAAGACTATGCTCATTGGTGACAAAAAACTAAGTCAGTTATCAAAATAATATTAAAAAATTAAAAAACTATAACAAATCCTACGGACGGAGTGGGTGTATCAATTAGCAAGTTGGTGATTTCTTTTTTTTTTTTATTTTAAACCATAACCATTAAAACTGACATTTTATAGGACAAAGTTGTATATCTAATCAAATTTAACATTATCCATTTTAGAAAAAAAAATATTGAATATCGTAACTTTTTTTTTTATCTGTAAAAAAGTATGATATCATATATCTTTATATCTAATCCACATTTTGTATTTTTAACCCCTTTTGATTTATATTTTTAACCCCTTTTGATTTGTATTTCTGAATATGGATGGCGAGTTTCCAATTTTTTTATATAAATCTTGGTGACTCTCAAAATTGGTCTAATGATCAGTGTTTTGAAAACTCTCCGTTTTTTTTTTTTCAAATTCCAACCAAGATCTTGTAACAAATAATCTTCAAACATCACAAAATACTGAAAAACAACCATGGGGAAATAAATGGGATACTGCAGAAGATGTTACTTTAATGTCAACATGGTGTTTTGCTAGTGAAGATAAGACACGTGGAAAAAACCAGAAAAAAAAACATTATTGTGGGCAAAAATAAAAGAATTGTATGATGTCATTCGGGTTGAAAATCCAGAAAATGTAAATAGCAAGAACAAAGATCAAATGAGAGGTCGTTTTAAACGACATAGTGAAAATGCACAAAAGTGAGTTGGTGTATTTTAGGAAGCATGATGCCGAAGAAGAAGTGGAACGAGTATATATATATATATATATATATATATATATATATATATATATATATATATATTGAGAACGAAGCTCATAAACTTTATGAGGCAAGTGGTAATGACAATATTAATTTTAATGAAGTTATGTGTAAACATGAGAAGTGGGCTTAAGAGTTAGATCGTGACACAACACGTTCTCGTCCTGAATGTGAAGTTGGTAACGAAGAAAGTGGTGGTAGCACAAAAAGATCAATGACTACTGAAGGAGGAGAGTATTGTGTCTATTCCAACACAGAAACACCAACCACTGATGTTTCAATAGTTAAACGTCCAATAGACGTAAATGAAATTAAAAAAAAAAAAAAAAAAAAAGGAAAAGGTAAGGCCTCTGATGAAATTTCTATAGTTCTTAGTGTAATGAGGCTTGCTAGAGAAAGTGAACTTGAAGTCATGAAAAAAAAAAAGAATCGACTTGGATAAAGAAAGGGAGAAAAAAATAGATGAAAGGGAGTTAATAAAGA